TTGCCAGGTCCTATACCATCCTCCAAATATCACTTATACTTGAGCCCATCATTGTAGCCACCGTGTCAATCCATTTTATTGAGGGTTTCCCCTGTTTTACTGCCCCTCCACTTTACCAAGCATGATATTCTTCTCCTAGGAATGGTCCCTTCTGACAACATGACCTAAGTAGGTGAGATGAAGCCTGGCTTCATCTCCAAGGAGCATTCTGGTTGCACTTCTAAGACAGATTTGTTCATTTTGTGGCAGTCCATGATATTTTCAGTATTCCTTGCCAACACCGTAATTCAAAGGCTTCAACTCTTTTCAGTCTTCTTTATTCATTGTTCAGCTTTCACATGCATATGAGGCAATTGAAATACCATGGCTTGGGTTAGGTGCACCTTAGTCTTCAAAGTGACATCTTTGCTCTTGAACACTTGAAAGAGGTCTTTTGCAGCAGATTTGTCCAGTGCAATAAGACATCTGATTTTTGACTGCTGTTTCCATGGGGTATTGATTGCGGATCCAAATAAAATGAAATCTTTGGCAACTTCGATCTTTTCTCCATATATCACAATGCTCCTTATTGGTCCAGTTAGGATTTTTGTTTTCTTTATGGTAAGGTGTAATCCATACTGAAGACAGTAGTCTTTATTCTTCATCCATCAGTGCTCCAAGTCGTCTTCACTTTCAGCAAGTAAGGTTGTGTCATCTGCATATTGCAGGTTATTAATGAACCTTCCTCCAATCCCTATGCCATGTTCTTCTTCATATACTCCAGCTTCTCAGATTCTTTTCTCGGCATAGAGATGAATAAGTATGGTACAACCCTGATGCACACCCTTCCTGATTTTAAACCATGCAGTTCCCCCTGTTCTGTTTGAATGATAGCCTCCTGGTCTATGTACAGGTTTCTCATGAGCACAATTAAGTTTTCTGGAATTCCCATTCTTTGCAATGTTATCCATAATTTGTTATGATCCACATAGTGAATGCCTTCACATAGTCAATTAAACACAGGTACACATTTTTCTGGCATTCTTTGCTTTCAGCCAAGATCCATCTCACATCAACAATGATATCCCTTATTCCACATCCTCTTCTGAAGCCAGCTTGCATTTCTAGAAGTGCCCTGTCAATATACTGCTACAATCATTTTTTAAATTATCTTCAGCAAAATTTTACTTGTGTGTGATATTAATATTGTTCAATAATTTCCACGTTGTTGTATCACTTTTCTTTGGAATGAACCCAAATATTAATTTCTTCTAGTCAGTTGGCCAGGTAGCTGTCTTCCAAATTACTTAGCATAGATGAGTAAGTGCCTCCAGCATTGCATCTATTTCTTGAAACGTCTAAATGGGTATTCTGTCAATTCCTGGAGCCTTGTTTTTCACCAATTCCTTCATGCAGCCTTGACCTCTTCCTTCAGTACCATTGGTTCTTGATCATATGCTACTTCCTGAAATAGTTGAACATCAACCAAATCTTTTTTGTACAGTGACTCTGTGCATTCCTCCCATCTTCTTTTGATGCTTCCTGCATCATTCAATATTTTGCCCATAGAATTTTTCAATATTGTACCTTGAGGCTTGAATGTTTTCTTCAGCTCTTTCAGCTTGAGAAATGCTGAGCATGGTCTTTCCTTTTGGTTTTCTAATTCCAGGTCTTCACACATTTCATTACAATAATTTACTTTGTCCTCTTGAGCTGCTCTTTGAAATCTTCTGTTCAATTCATTTATCTTTTTTACTTCTATTTGCTTTAGCTACTTTCCATTCAAGAGCAAATTTTATAGTCTCTTCTGACTTCCAATTTGGTATTTTATTCCTTTCCTGTTTTTTAATGACCATTTGCTTTTTTCATATATGATGTTCTTGATGTCATCCCACAACTTGTCTAGTCTTCAGTGATTGGTATGCAGTGCTTTAAATATCTTCTTAAGATAGTCTCTAAATTCAGGTGGGATATAATCAAGGTCATAATTTGGCTCTTGTGGACTTATTTTCATCTTCTTCAGCTTCAACTTGAACTTGCATATGAGTGATTGATGGTCTATTCCACCATCAGTCCCTGGCCTTGTTTTGGCTCAGCATATTGAGCTCTTTCATCACCTCTTTCCACACATGTAGTCAATCTGATTCCTATGTATTCTATTTGGTGAGGTCCACATGTATATCTGCCATTTATGTAATTGAGAAAAGGTATTTCCAATTAATAAGTCTTGCAAAATTCTATCATTTGATTTCTGGCATCATTTATATCACCAAGACCATATTTTCCAACTACCAATGGTTCTTCTTTTTTTCCAACTTTCACATGCTAATCACCAGTAATAATCAATACATCTTGATTGCATGTTTGGTCAACTTCAGACTGCAGAAGCTGGTAAAAATCTTCAATTTCTTAATCTTGGCTTTAGTGGTTGGTGCATAAATCTGAATAATAGTAGTGTTAACTGGTCTTTCTTGTAGGCATATGGATATTATTTTATCACTATCAGCATTGTACTTCAGGATAGATTTTGAAACATTCTTTTTGACAATGTACATGACACCATTCCTCTTCAATTTGTCGTTCCCAGCATAGCAGACCATATGATTGTATGAGAATATCTAAAGCAAATAAAAGATTCAAAATGACCAAAAGAAGTTCATTTCAGATCACTAACGCCTAAGATATCAATCTTTATGTGTTCCATTTCATTTTTGACAACTTCTAGTTTTCCTACATTCATATTTTGTACATCCCATGTTCCAGTTAATGGATATTTGCAGCTATTTCTTCCCATTTGGAGTCATTCTGCATCAGCAAATGGAGGTTCAGAAGGCTTTACTCAATCCATGTCATTATGGTTGACTCTCCTTAGAGGAAGCAGCTCTTCTCCAGTCATACTTTGAGTGCTTTCCAACCTGAGGTGCTCATCTTCTGGCACTATATCATACAACATTTCAAGGATGTTCATAACATTTCCCAGTAATATATCAGACAGTGTTTCATTGCTATTCTGAAGGTTTTCACTGGCCATGTTTTTCAGAAGTGGTTGGCACCATCATTTTTCCCAATCTATCTTAGTCTGGAAGTTCTGCTGAAATCTGTCCACCATGGGTGACCCTGCTGGTATTTGAAATACTGGTGACATAGCCTCCATTCTCATAGCAACACACTAGCCACCACTGTACATCAAACTGACAGGCGACTGATGGTCAATAACCCTATGAAATGTATATTATTATTATCTTTATTTTACTGATGAAAAACTGAGGCACAGAGATGAAAAGTCACACAACTGTCAGTCACATAGCTAAAGAGTGGAAAAGTTATCAACTTAAATGTAAGCTCATAACCACTTGTATATATGCCTTCTGGGATTTATTCAAGTGAATATACTTGGAGGGACAGCATCAACCGTAGCATGTGTGACCCTTAGCATGCAGGCATACCCTCAGTCATGGCACTGACTCTCTCTGGTTTGAAGGGAGAGCAGAAGGGACACACACTTGAGCTGTGAGAGCCTTATGTCCCAGCTGTTCAACATCACCGATGGCACAAGGGGGCACCGCATTGCTGGCTGTCAGCTTTACTCAGCTCAGTTCTGGGGATAATTCACAACATATTAAAAATTTGTAGTCCATACAGTGGTTCAGAATAACAAATGGATGTTACTTTGTAACACACATCAAGACATTATTACTCCTACTACTATATTATTATGTTAAAAATCTTTTAGTGTATCAGGAAATATTTCTTTAATGTTTTCCATATATAGAAATGTATGCTATAAACAGTAAACTAAGACAAACATTCGAATAACGGATGTTAGATATGAACTGTACTTAATTGTTCTAATTTACATACATATTCTACTTAAAGATAGATTTAGGAATGGAACTCATTCAGAATCCAAGGGCTGCCTGTATATGGCATCAGACTGACAACAGCAACTTGAAAGATTAGATAGGAAATGTAGGGGGCACTGAATTTATGTAAATAGGAGAGCATCAATTCAGAAAAGGAAGATGAGAGTGATTGCACAACTTGAAGAATATAATCAATGCCACTGAATTGTACATAAGAAATTGTTGCATTGGCATATGTTCTGCTGTGTATATTCTCAACAACAACAACAAAAGTTAATTCAGATTTTCACTTGAGCATTGTGTGATAGTGCCATCATTTATTGAAATCAAAATTGTTGAGAGAAATGCAGGTTGTCCAAACTCACTGCCGTCGAGTAGATTCCAACTCATAGAAACCCTATAGCACAAAGTTGAACTACCCAATAGCATTTTTAAAGCTGTAAATCTTCATGGAAACAAACTGTCACTTCTTTCTTCCACAGAGCAACTGATGTGTTCAAATTGCTGGCCTTTCAGTTAGAAGTCAAGCACTTTAACCACTGGCACCACCAGAGCCCTTTAATATAGGTTAGAAAAAATCAAACCCACTCCCACTGAGTCAATTCCACTCATAGCTACATGTATTAGTTTTCCAAGACTGTAAATCTTTATGGAAGTAGATTGCCTCATCTTCCTGCCAGAGAGCAACTGGTGAGTTTGAACCACTGGCCTCCTGGTTAGCAGCCAAATGCCTTACCTCTTATGCTACCAGAGCTTCTTAAGAGGATAAAAATTGAAAAGTTGTTTTTTGTTTGGTTGGTTGAATTTTTTGCTAAATTGTTTGAGATGCTTATTATACATTCAAGTGGAATGTCTAATATCCAAATGTATATCTATTTTTTCTGAAACTTTTGGGAGAGGGTTTGGGTAATACATGAGTATTTTGAGTCAAAAGACTGGTGTAGAACTCCATAAATATGACTTGCCTTAGTGTGACCAGACATTTCTTCAAGAAGGAGGCTTAGGAGCTCAGTTGGAGAATGGAAATGCCTCAAGTAGTTTGATTTTTCTACTAGTTATTCTGCCTTTTGTCTGACTTCTGCCTATCAAAGAGCTGTTCAATCCCAGACTGTTGAGCAAGAGGTCCTGGAAATGAGCTCTGAGTCTCTTTTCTAGTTCACCGAGGATTCTAGTGGGGGAATCTGAGAAGCAGTAGTTATTAAGCAAGAAGAAAAACCAGGAAATTTTGGTACCACAAAAGCCAAGTGATCAAGAGAGTGTTTGAAGGAAGAAAGACGGTTGAATGGTGCTGATAATTCAAGTAAGAAGATAACAGAAAGCTTACTACTGGATTTGGCAACCTTAATTTATGAAGTGGTTGATCACACTGACATGAGAAGTTTCAGCAAGCTGGAGTAAGTTGAAGAGAGAATGAGATATAAAAAGGTTGAAAGAGCAAGCACAGATAACTTTATTGAGAAGTTTTAATGTGAAAGAGATTGGAGAAATGGGATAGTAGGTTTATGGGATCTGGAGTCAAGGGAGGTTTTTAATTTTGTTTTCAAAATGAAATATACTAATAATTTTTTAAGTGTTCATGGAAATAGTCACAAAGGTAATGTGTATAACAACAGGATTTTAGGTAAGGCAGAGTTAAACTCTAAATTTCTTCCACAGTAGCTTAGGGAAGAGAATCTTTGAATAAGTTTAAACAGGACACTGGTAGGAGACATTGTATGGAATTCTTGCATCAGGCTGGAGACTGAAGAAAAATGATCATTGAATCCTGTAATTCTAGCAGTAATTACACCTGTGTACCTGCAGGTTTGTAGGTGAGTATCAAGTCCTATCAAACCTGAGAAAGCCTCAGACTGGTTCTTAGCTGGCAAAGTTCGGACGCCTGCCCTACATATCTGATTTTCCAAAACCACTATATTGGAAAAGTGGATGCATATCTCAGGGGCCCAGTTAACCGGCTACTGCTACTTCCCCTGTGAGCAGAGTTTAGCCCACACACCCTAGGATCCACACTACTCACTCTCTTTCTCTCTAAGGACTGGCCTGGCACATGGCTACCTAATAGAAGAAAATAATTTAAAAATTATAAAAGTCAAGCTAGCCAGGAACTATCCCAAGAACCAAGGAAGGTAAAAGATGGGGGGGGGGGAGAAAAAAAAGATAGCCAAAGCCCCTTAACAGGTACTGACTCAAACCAGAGCTCATGCATTTGACACTTTAGTCTTTATCCAAAATTAAGCACATGGTCACTTTTGCTTAGCTGCATTAAACATCCAGTTTTCAAGTGATTGGAAAAGAAAACTGGCATAAAAGATGTTGGAAGAGACATGTTGGGACATGAAAGATGCTGAGCTCTTGTGGAATATAAAGAGAAGGGTATCAAAGACAGCTGGGATCCTCAAAGGCAGAAAAGCCCTAGCTTCTAACATTCTCAGTGGCTTCAGGGCATCTAAACTCCTCATCTTCCAGCCAAGTTTCCATAGCACAGTGTTCTGGTTACCTAGTGGCACTCTGACAAGAATATACCACAAATGGGATGCCCTTAAGTGTGAAAGCCCCTCGACTTTGGTCTTCAGCTCTGTCTCTTGCTCCTGGCACACTGAGCTAGAGCCATCTCTTCACTCAGGCACCTACTGGCTGCTGAGGCTAACAAGCCCAAGGTCAACAAATAAAATGGCACAGTCCTGATATTACCAAACCACATGGCAGGCCATTAATTCAAGTCCATTGTAAGTCCCCAGGTTGGCAGAGCATGGCAGGCTGCTGAACGACATGGCAACATGCAGGGCCCAAGCGTGCCATAAGCTAGAGACTGTTCCCAAAGCTGCTTCTTCTATACAAGAAGCAGACCATGGAGTTGATTGCCAGTCTCATCATGGGGAATAACTACCACCAACTTCCCAGCCCCTCAACCAGGCCCAGCCAAGTTGACACACAAACTTAACCACCACACACGGGTTTGGGATTGAACAGCTCTTAGACAGACAGAGATCAAACAAAAGGCAGAATAACTAACAGAAAAATCAAACTACTTGAAGCATTTTCATTCTCCAACTGAGCTTGTAAGCTTCCTTCTTGAAGAAACAGCTTGTCAGACTAAGTTTAATTATTAGAGTACATGCAAAGCAGAAATAGAATGGAAAAAGAAAGAGGTCCACATTTCCTCTTGAAGCTGGGCTTAATTAATTGCTGAGTTTGAAGCAAAAGGATGGAATGTTATGCTGTATATGACCCTTCACAAAAGATATGTTTTCATTGAAAGTATAAAAGCCATGCAACAGGTTGCTGTCTTTGGAGGCTGCTGAATCCAAGATCATCAGGTAAGATGGCAGGCTGCTACCTCACAGGCTGCGAAGATACCATCCCAAGATGGCAGACCACTGGCTCAAGTGCAGATAATGAGGAGCCAGATGTAGAATCTAAATCAAGCAAAAATCCAGAGATCTTTGTCAGGATGTCCATATATTTCGGAAGCAGGCCACAACCCTGAGAAAATTCCCTTTCAACTGATTGGCTGCTCGTAGCAGATCTTCTCATTGATGTGAATACATTATATCAGCTTGCATCATGGGGAATGCCTACATCATATTTGCTAAACCACTGAGAATCATGTCCTAGCCAAGTTGACACACAGCTATCACAGTCTACCCTTTGCCAACTTGGCAATTGTACAAAAAGAAGTTCTCCAAAGGGTTAGGGAAATAGGCAGGTTAGAATGGATTTATCAAATTAGAGCCACAGACCCACACATGGAGTACCCAGAGGACATAGCTTTTACTACAGTAAGGAACAAATTTGTGAAGGGAGCTCCAGCATCCTTGAAGACTGCTGTGATTGCTGTTTTATGTAAGCTAGGTTTAGCAGTGGGAAATGCCCTAATTGAATTAAGACACTTAACTACAATGGGGATTGCCCCCCTGGTAGCAGAGGCCAAGTGGCAGCATTTAATCGACAGAGACAAGGTGGGTGTGGTTACTGTAATGGGCAGCAGAGACAAAGCAGTAATCAGAATAGTCTGACTAATATGGCATTGGCATGGTGTCCCTAGGGGTGAAATAGATGGGAAATCTACTAAATATTTACTTGATTTGTACAAACAGAAGAATTCTAGGTCAAGTGAACAGCAGTTTAACTTGAATCACCAGAATACAGAGTAATGGCCCCTCAGTCAATTCCCAGACTTCAGCAAGTTTACAGACTCACAACCTGTTGGATGAAGGGCAGGCTGGGTCTCCTTGAGAAAAGACCCTACTACCCTGCCCAAAATTCATACAGCTAATCTTTCTCCTAATCTTCTCCAAAGGGATTTATGGCCTTTTATGAAAGTGACTATTCACTGGGGAAAAGGAAATAATCAAACTTTTTGGGGATTACTGGATACTGGCCCTGGATTGACTATAATTTCAGGAGACCCAAAAAGTCATTGTGACACACAGTCAGAGTGGTGGCATATGGAGGTCAAGTTATTGATGGATTTTTAGGTCACATCCATCTCACATTAGTCCAGTGGGTCCCAAAACTCATCTGGTAGTGATTCTCCCAGTTTCAGAATGCATAATTGGAATAGATACACTTGGCAGCTGGCAATCCCCCACCCAACCCCCCATTGGATCCCTGACATAAGGAGTTATGGCTATTCTGGTAGGAAAACCCAAGTGAAAGTTATTAGAACTGACCTCACATAGAAAAAATAGTAAACCAAAAGATTTACCATATCCCTGGAGGGATTTCAGAAATTACTGCCACCATCAAACCAGGACACAGGAGTGGTGATTACATCATCACTTCATCACCATTTAACTTACCTATTTGGCCTGTGCAAAAAATAGATAGATCTTGGAGAATGACAGAAGATTACTCTAAACTTAATCAGGTGATGACTCCAATTGTAACTGCTGTTCCAGATAAGGTTTCATTGCTTGAGCAAATTAATACATTCCCTGGTGCCTGGTATGGCAGCTAGTGATCTGGCCCATGCCTTTTTCTTAATTCCAATTATGAATAATCATCAGATACACCTTGCCTTCAGCTGGCAAGGCCAACAATACACCTTCACCATCAGGGATATATCAACTCTCCATATTATGTCATAATTTAATCAGCAGGAACTTTTATCACTTTTCCCTTCCACAAGATATCACACTGGTCCATTACATTGATGACATTAAGCCTATAGGACCTAGTAAGGAAGAAATACCAATGACTCTAGATTTATTGGTAAGACATTTGCATGCTAGAGGGTGGGAAATTAACCTGATAAAAATTCAGGCACCTTCCACCTCAGTGTAATTAATAGGGGTCCAGTGGTGTAGGTCATGTCAAGACATTCCTACTAAATTAAAGGGTAAGTTACTGTATCTATCCCCTTCCACAAATGAAAAAGGAGGTGCAATGCCCAGTGGGCCTCTCTGGATTTTAGAGGCTATATATCCCTCATTTGGATTTGCTACTCTGGCCTCTTTATCAAGTGACTCAAAAGGCAGCTAGCATTGAGTAGGGCCCAGAACAACAGTAACTGGTCCAGGCTGTCATGCAAGCTGCTCTGTCACTTGGGTCATTATGATCCAGCTGAACCAGAGATGCCTGAAATTTCAGTGGCAGATAGAAATGTTGTTTGGAATCTGTGGCAAAGCACTATAGGTGAATCACAGCATAGACCCTTAGGATTTTGGAACAAAGTCTTGCCATCCTCTGTAGATAACTACTCTCCTTTTGAGAAACAGCTTTTGGCTTACTATTGGGGCTTAGTAGAGAAAGGATCTCTGGTGGTGCATTGGCTAACACATTTGGCTGCTAACAAAAGGGCAGTGGTTTGAACCCACCAGCTGCTCCATGGAAGAAAAGTGAGGCAGTCTGATTCTGAAAAGATTGACAGCCTTGGAAACTCACAGGGGTCACAGTGAGTTGTAATTCACTTGATAGCAGTGAGTTTTCTTTTTTAGTTAGTAGAGACCGAACACCTAACCATGGGCCACTGAGTCACCATGAGGCCTGAGCTGCCCATCATGAACTGGGTGTTGTCTGACCCATAGAGTCATAAAATTGGACATGCACAGCAGCACTCCATCATTAAATGGAAGTGGTATATAAGAGATCTGGCTCAAGCAGGACGTGAAGGCACAAGTAAGCTGCATGAGGAAGTGGCCTATTGTTTGTACTCCACCACATTACCTTCCCTTTCCCAGTCTGCAACTATGGCAGACTCCAAGGGGAGTTCCTCAAGATCAGTTGACTGAGGAAGAGAAAACTTGTGCCTGGTTTACAGATGGTTCTCTGTGATAATGCAGGCACCAGCTGAAAGTGGACAGCAGCATCACTGGAACCCCTTTCTGGGACCTTCCTGAAGGACTGTGGTGAAGGGAAATCTTCCCAGTGGGCAGAACTTTAAGCAATGCATCTGGTTGTTTACTTTGCTTGGAGAAATGGCCAGGTGTGAGACTGTCTACTGATACAAGGGCTGTGGCCAATAGTTTAGCTGGATAGTCAGGGACTTGGAAGAAACATAATTGGAAAATTGGTGACAACAAGGTATGTGGATAGACCTCTCTGAAGGGGCCAAACACATGAAGTTATTTGTGTCCCATATAAATGCTCACCAAAGGGTGACTTTAGTAGCGGAAGTTTACAATCAATTGGATAGGATGACATGTTCTGGGGAAACC